GAAGAAACAGGAGAACACGGGCCTTGGGGGGGGATATCTAGAAAATATCTGTGAAAGCCAAAGGGTATATATGCACCACCCAACTTAAAGTTGGATAGAGAAGAGCCTAACCAGCCCCATCCAATTGGATCACCCACAGCTGCCATACTTTATCATATTTCCAGGGGCAGCCTCGTAGAATCAGCTTGTAGAGGGGAAGAGTAGTGTTAATCATGGTTTTACATGTCTTACATGTCTGGGGATGCAGTAGATGTGCATTTACAAAAGGATTTCCTTCTTAGTGTAGAATAAAAGGTAAGAGATCAATAATTTACTATGATGTGTGTGATGATGCTGAAGTATTATGGGTGGTCATTGGAGTTTGTTATAGGCCTCCCAGTGTTAATGAGGAGGTGGAGACTCCTTGCACAGATCGAAAGGGCTGGGACAGAGAAAATAATGGGGGATTTTAATTATCCGGAAGTTGACTGGAGTAATGGTACTGCAGGAACAGTTAAAGGGCAAACATTTTTAAACCTACTACAGGGTAATTTTATGGTACAGTTCATAGAGGCCCTAACTAGGAATGATGCTTTGCATAATTGTTTGGTAATCTCAAACCATGCAACTTATTATGAATGTCCATATAAGAGAACATCTGGGTAGCAGTGACCATAACATGATTTAATTTATTGTTAGCTGTAAACAGCAAACATATACGGGAAAAATAAAAGCACTCAATTTTAAGAGAGCTAATTTTCCAAGGCTGAGAGGTGCTCTCCAAGACTTAGACTGGGAGGGAATATTGATATCAATGAACACAACACAGAAATGGGAGTTCTTCAAAAAGACTGTATGTGAACACACTGCAAAATATATTCCCATGGGCAACAAGTTTAAAAGACTAAAAATCAAACCTATGTGGCTTACGGCCAAAGTTAAAAAAGCTATAGATAATAAGAAAAGAGCTTGTATTAAATATAAAAATGAAGGAACGCTAACATTGTTTAAATATTAGAAAGAATATAACAGAATTTGCAAAAAGGAAATAAAAGCCGCAAAAATTGAAAACGAACAACAGATTGCAAAAGATAGCAGGACAAACCCCAAAAAATTCTTCAAATATATTAATAGTAAAATGGTCCGGTCCGAGCATGTAGGCCCTTTACAAAATAATCTAGATTTGGTGACTGGGGACAAAGAAAAGGCAAATTTATTAAATACCTTCTTCAGCTCTGTGTATACAAAGGAGCATGGGGGAGCTCTTGTCCATAATGGGCATGGTATTAGCTCCTGATAATCCACATTGGCTCACAATTGATATGATCCAAAAATACTTAGACAGAATAAAGGTGAATAAAGCACCTGGACTGGATGGCATACACCCACAGGTCCTTAAAGAATTGAGCTCTGTCATTTCAAAGCCATTGTTTCAAATTTTTCTTTAATGACTGGCATAGTACCACTGGATTGGAGTAATGACTGGCATAGTACCACTGAATTGGCGTAAGGCCAATGCGGTGCCAATATTTAAAAAGGGGTCAAAATCTTTACCAAGTAATTATAGACCTATTAGTTATCTTCTATAGTTGGGAAGATACTGGAGAGTTTAATAAAAGACCACATAGATAAGTTCTTGCTGGAAAAAAATATTTTAAGCAACAGACAGCATGGATTCATGAAAGACAGAAGTTGTCAAACAAATCTAATTTCTTTTTATGAGGAGGTGAGCAAAACCTTGGACAGAGGGGTGGTGGTGGACGTGGTATACTTGGATTTTGCAAAAGCGTTTGACATAGCTCCCCATACATGGCTAATGTGTAAGGTAAAGTCTACAGGCTTGGAAAAATCTGTATGTAAATGGACAGAAAACTGGCTAAAAGATCATATTCAGAGAGTAGTGGTTGATGATTCATACTCTGAATGGTCTGGGGTTGTCAGTGGTGTACCCCAAGGTTCAGTGTTGGGACCCTTACTTTTTAATATATATATATAAACGATATAGGGTCTGGGATTATAAATACCATTTCAGTCTTTGCAGATGATACCAAGCTGTGCAGTGGAATAACGTCCTTACAAGCCGACCTTAGTGCACTGTTTAATTGGGCAACTATGTGGCAAATGAGGTTTAATGTTGATAAATGTAAGGTGATACTCTTGGGGACTAAGAATATGCATGCATCATACATACTAGAGGGTGAACAATTGGGAGAATCAATGGTGGAGAAGGATCTGGGAGTTCTGGTAGATCACAAGCATAATAATGGCATGCAATGCCAAGCTGCGGCTTCTAAAGCGAGCAAAATCCTCTCTTGTATTAAAAGAGGTATAGACTCCAGAGAGAGAGATATCATTTTACCCCTGTACAAATCATTAGTAAGACCTCATCTGGAAAATGCAGTTCAGTTTTGGGCACCAATTCAAAAAAAAAAAACATTGGGGAACTGGAGAAAGTACAGAGAAGGGCAACCAAACTGATCGGAGGTATGGAGGAGCTCAGCTATGAGGAAAGATTAGAGGAACTGAATTTATTCTCTCTTGAGAAGAGGACATTAAGGGGGGATATGATCAATATGTATAAATACATCAGTGGTTCATATAGTGAACTCGGTGTAGAGTTATTCACCCTGAGGTCATCACAGAGGACAAGGAGGCACTCTTTATGTCTGGAGGAAAAGAAATTTAATTTCCAAACACAGAAAGGTTTCTTCACAGTAAGAGCTGTGAAAATGTGAAATAGACTCCCTCAAGAGTTGGTTCTGTCCAGCTCAGTGGATTGCTTTAAAAAAGGCCTGGATTCTTTCCTAGATACACATAATATAACTGGATACTAACATTTATAGGTAAAGTTGATCCAGGGAATATCCGATTGCCTCTCGGGGGATCAGGAAGGAAATTTTTCCCCTGTAGGAGCAAATTGGATCATGCTTTGCTGGGTTTTTTGCCTTTCTCTGGTTCAACTGTGGGTATAGGATTATAACTTTTTTTTTTTTTTAATGGTTGAACTGGATGGACTTTTGTCTTTTTTCAGCCAGACTAACTATGTAACTATGTAGTTAAATTTAGGCAGGATCATTATTTTGATAAGATTTATACATCCCAAAAGATTAAGGGATTTATGATAGTATTTAATATGTGAATTTAATTTTTAATTCACAGATGTGTTTATTTATATTTTTCTTCACATTTACATGCAGGCTGAGCTGTTCAGCAAACATTACAGTTACAGGGGTTAGAGAAACCTACTGCTTTCTGTGATCAGTTTTTATTCATATTGTTTAAAAAACTTAAAAAAAACCCCAAAAAAAACAAAAAACGGTTTTAACTACTTAATAAGCTGGAGTTGAGCTTTAAAGGGGTATTAAACCCAAAACTAATAATGTAATATATTACAGCTTACTAGTCCTTAGATGTGATTATTGCATTAGTTTTTTTTTTTTTAGGCTTTATTACTCTCTGTTTTCTCCTTGCGATCTGGCCAGTAACACATTTTCTGTGTTAGTGCCTACATTCTGGCTGGAGGAGCAACACAAACAACTTTGGACAGCATCGTTGTCAGTTTGGGGGGAGGGGAGTTTTAGATGTATCAGCAAGTTTTGCAGAATTAGACAACAAAACTGCAGCCAAATGCAGCTAACACTTTTTACAGCAACAGTTTTGTTCTATATGGGATAAAGTTTTTACATAAATAAAAGTTAACCATTGTAAGAACCTGTGTCAGTGGTAAATGGTTTGTCTCAACCCCCTGCTACATCTGCAGGACAACATATTCTGTTGAAAAACAGCAGACTTACTGTGGCTGGATCACCAGGTGAAAACAAAGGAAAGAAAGTCTAAAAATGAAAACTAATGCAGCCATTACATCTAAGAATGGGTCATTTAAAGTCCATCTGAAATTACATGCCCACAGGGTGACAACACTGTTCAACCCAGAACAAACAGCATTGTCAGTTATTGGGAGGATCAAACCTAGTAAAACCTCTATTACAGGGGAGACTCAGATAAACAATAAATGCTCTGTTATTGCTATTGTCAAACTGCATTATATATAGTACCTCAATTTTTTCTTTAACTCTAGTTCTACATTAAAGACATGTTAGCAGTTGAATACTTCTCAAATCAAAAGAGGTGTACTTTAAAAGGGTGATTCAACATAAATGGCATCTGTTAAAATATATAGTTTATCAATAATTTGCATGCTGGTTTTGTCAGTTTTACAGTTATCTTTGCCCATTGGATAGTATTTTCCTTATATCCTGCTCTAGTGATGGCAGCCATCAAGACAGTATATATTTTCAAATGAGACAACAAGAGCAATAAACACATTTCTTTTTAAAAGAGGAAGGAACAATTTGGGACATTTTCCAGATTTTTATTGCTGTGTGTTGTTGTTGAGGAGATTCACTAATTCCAGAAAGGACATTGACAGCATAAAACAGATACTGATGTATCAACCATGATATTTTCGGTGACAGAAAAATATGTAAATTTTTTAACCGCTAGCCTACAGGGCACTTATACCCCCTTCCTGCCCAGACCAATTTCCAGCTTTCAGCGCTGTCGCACTTTGAACGACAATTGCATGGTCATACAACACTGCAGCCATATGAAATTTTTATCATTTTTTTGTGACAGATAAAGCTTTTTTTTTATGGTATTTAATCACCACTGGGTTTTTTATTTTTTCTTAAACAAACCAAAAACCACTGAAAATTTTGGGGAAAAAAAAACATTTTTTTCTTAGTTTTTGTTATAAAATGTTGTAAATAAGTGATTTTTCTCCTTCACTGATATGCGCTAATGAGGCTGCAGTGGTGGGCACTGATAGGCTGCACTGATGGACACTGATAGGTGGCATTGATGGGCACTGATGAGGCACTGGTAGGTGGCACTGATGGGCATTGACAGGCATCACCGATGAGCACTGAAAGGCAGCACTGATACATGGCACTGATATATGGCACTGATAGGCAACACTGACTGGCACTGTTAGGCGGCACTGGCACAGCACTGATAGGCGGCACTGATGCACACTGATAGGCGGCACTGATGCGCACTGATAGGCGGCACTGACTGGCACTGATAGGTGGCACTGATTGGCAGCACTGATAGGCATTGATAGATAGCACTGACTGGCACTGATGGGTGACACTGAAAGGCAGCTCAGATGGGCACTGATATGTGGCATTGATGTGCACTGGTAGGCACTGATATGTGGCATTGATGTGGCACTGATGGACACTGGCACGAGGCACTGATGGACACTGACAGGTGCCACTGCTGGGGCTACACTGATCATCAGTGCTCTGATGATCAGTATACATGTCCCCTCCGCGGAAAGCCGATTACCGGCTCTCCTCTCGAGCTGTCAGCGTGACAGCTCGAGAGGAGAGAAATGCCGATAACCGGCATTTCCCTGTTTACATGTGATCAGCTGATCACATGACCGAGCCGACATCTTCGGCTCTTTCCGTGATCGGTGATCCGCTGTGTCCAATCACCCCGCTGCGCGCTCCCTGAGCCGCGCATGCGCAGTGAGAATAGGTGGAAATCATATGATGTCCTCCCAGAACAAGAGAACCACCTTGCGCCCGTCATTGGACTATATGGCGGGTGGGAGGTGGTTAAAGAAATTAGAGCAGGGGATATCTAAAACAAAGCTAATACCATCAATGTGATCTTTTCCAACACATAGCCGTATCCTATATAATAATCCCATACAAGTAAAAGTACCAATCGGCAGTTAGGTATTTCCTCTTGCCAAAAATGACAGTGACCATATAGTATTGGGCTACTTGACAAACATATATAAGAGCTTTCACACTGAAGCGGTTTTCCCGTACTGCATGTGCAGATCAGTGTACTTGCAGGTTTGGGTAGCTGCACTTTCCCATAGAGTTCTACAGTGCCTTGAAAAAAGTATTCATACCCTTTGAAATTTTTTATGTTACAACCAAAAATGGAAATGTATTTTATTGGGATTTGATGTAATAGACCAACACAAAGTGGCACATAATTGTGAAATGGAAGAAAAATGATAAATGATTTTCATATTTTTTTACAAATAAATATCTGAAAATTGTGGTGTGCATTTGTATTCAGCCCCCCTGAGTCAATACTTTGTAGAACCACCTTTCACTGCAATTACAGCTGCAAGTCTTTTTGGGGATGTTTCTACCAGCTTTGCACATCTAGAGAGTGACAATTTTGCCCATTCTTCATTTGCAAAATAGCTCAAGCTCTGTCAGATTGGATGGAGAGCGTCTGTGAACAGCAAATTTAAAGTCTTGCCATAGATTCTCAATTGGATTTAGGTATGAACTTTGACTGGGCCATTCTAACATATGAATATGCATTGATCTAAACCATTCCTTTGTAACTCTGGCTGTATGTTTGTCCTGCTGGAAGGTGAACCTCCGCCCCACTCTCAAGTCTTTTGTAGACTCTAACTGGTTTTCTTCTAAGATTTCCCTGTATTTAGCTCCATCCATCTACCCATCAACTCTGACCAGGGGCGGACTGACCATTTGGAAACTCGGGCACTGCCCGAGGGCCCAGAGTCAGTAGGGGGCCCCATGAGATGCCCCTGGTACCTTTTTCATAGGCTTTTTTTTAGTTTGGGCAAGGACACAGGGGCCCCATGATCCCCTATTGCCCGGGGGCCCCATGAGTTGTCAGTCCGTCCCTTACTCTGACCAGCTTCCCTGTCCCTGCTGAAGAAATCATCCCCACAACATGATGCTGCCACCATGTTTCATGGTGAGGATGGGGTGTTCAGGGTGATGTGCAGTGTTAGTTGTTCGCCACACACAGCGTTTTGCTTTTAGGCCAAAAAGTTAAATTTTGGCCTCATCTGACCAGAGCACCTTCTTCCACGTTTGCTGAGTCCCTCACATGGCTTCTCGCAAACTGCAAACAGAACTTCTTATGGTTTTCTTTCAACAATAACTTTCTTCTTGCCACTCTTTTATAAAGACCAGATTTGTGGAGTGCATGACTAATAGTTGTCCTGTGGACAGATTCTCCCACCTAAACTGTGGATCTCTGCAGCTCCTCCAGAGTTAACATGGGCTTCCTGGCTGCTTCTCTGATTAATGCTGTCCTTGCCCGACCTGTCAGTTTAGGTGGGCAGCTATATCTTGGTAGGTTTGCAGTTGTGCCATACTCTTTCCATCTTCAGATGATGGATTGAACAGTGCTCCGTAAGATGTATAAACCTTGGGGTTTTTTTTATAATCTAACCCTGCTTTAAATTTATCCACAACTTTATTCCTGACCTGTCTGGCATGTTCCTTGGCCTTCACGATGCTGTTTGTTCACTAATGTTCTCTTACAAACCTCTGAGGGCTTCATAGAACACCTGTATTTATACTGAGATTAAATTACACATAGGTGGACTCTATTTACTAATTAGATGACTTCTGAAGGCAATTGGTTCCAGTAGAATTTAGTTAGGGGTATCAGAGTAAAGAGGGCTGAATACAAATGCATGCCACACTTTTCAGATATTTATTTGTAAAAAATTTTGAAAACCATTGATCATTTTCCTTCTACTTCACAATTATGTGCCACTTTGTGTTGGTCTATCCCATAAAATCCCAATAAAATACATTTACGTTTTTGGTTGTAACATGAAAAATATGGAAAATTTCAAGGGGTATGAATACTTTTTCAAGGCACTGTATTTTGTCCTATGGATTTGGTGTGCTATCTGAAAGCGCACCAAAACTCCTGCATGTACAACTTTTGGTAAGTTTTCTGTAAATGGAACTCTATGGGAAAGCAGAGGTAACCCACTCAAAACCTGCGGGTACACTGCACTGCACATGGGGTGTGGGAAAACTGAATCAGTGTGATAGGAGCCTAAATGTCAGACATAAGAACCTTTGCACAGGTGTAGGTAGGCTTACATACATGACTTGACACAACATTATGAGTGGTTATGGACAACAAATCCACATTTCATTTATCACACCATAGTTCTGTTATATTTATAATGCATATATAGCAGGGCTTAAAATTTCCACTCGCCTGCTCGCATTTGGTTAGTGAAAATAACATGTGGGCGAGTATGTCCCACCCCGAGCACTGTGTTGAGGGGGGGCGGACTGCTGGTGCCGGAGTGATCGTAGTTTCACTCCTGTCACAGGGAGCAGCTGCTGACACTTGCTGGAGGGAGGACTAGGCTTTCTCCTCCCTCCTGCCTGCAGGAGGCAAAAGACAGCCGGTACTAAGGAGAGAAGGCAGAGTGTCCTTCCTCTCTCCCATTGTGATGTGACTTATCACATGACAGAAGGAGGGAAAGAAGGAGAAGCTGCATTCACGAGAAGATCTATGAGTACAAGGGGGAAGGGTGAGGTTACACTTATGGGGACACCTGATGTAAAGGGGGGCTCTGGGGACACCTGGTAATATTAGTGGTGTCCCTTAACATTAGCAGCGTGTGTAGTGATTGCTACATTGGTGTAAAATGACCCCCTTGTCTACATGGTCAGTGTAGGTGGGAAATCAATTTTTCAATTCTCTCTGCTCAAGGAACCCCTGGCAACCTCAGGAATAACTCTGGTTGAGAAAATATGTGCTGTTTGTGAAGTAGTTAATATTATTTCCATTTTGGAAGTCACTCATGGCCAAATCAAGGCAATTCAAATAATGTGTGAAGTAAGCCCAATTTTTTTTTTGTTCAGTAGGTTTAAATATGGAAACAATGATATTGTATTTATTTTAATGTGATTATTCCAATGATGTTTTTACTTGATTTGTACACTTCAAGATTCCTAATTCAAAGTAAATATGGCTAGATCACTTAAATATCGTGATGTATGCTTTATCTTTGTAAAAAGATTACATTCGGTGATGTGACTTATCACATGATCGAAGGAGGGAAAGAAGGAAAAGCTGCATTCACGAGAAGATCTGTGAGTACAAGGGGGAAGGGTCAGGTTACACTTATGGGGACATCTGATGTAAAAGGGGGGCTCTGATGGGAACACCTTATATAAAGGGGGATTCTGATGGGGACACCTGATGTAAAGGGGGACTCTGATGGGACACCTGATGTAAAGGGGGGCTCTGATGGGGACACCTAATGTAAAGGGGGACTCTGATGGGGACACCTGATGTAAAGGGGGACTCTGATGGGGGACACCTGGTGTAAAGGGGGACTCTGATGGGGACACCTGATGTAAAGGAGGACTCTGATGGGGATAATTATTTTTATTTTATGTTTACATTGTTTTATGTTAACCACTTGCCCTCTAGACTCTATTAAGCTATTGCTGTTATGTTTAAATTGACATAATAAAGCTATGTTATAATTGCTGTTTTTTATATTTTGGACTCTTTATTCTAAAGAAAAATGTAATTTCATAAGCTTTAAGGGGGCATGGTTGGGGGCAGGGCTGGGGGCGGGGTTGGGCGATGGGCCTGGAGTCGGGTTGGAGGCGGACCTGTGCAAGGTTTGGTGGGGCAACTGGTGGAGGGTAAGGTTTTTGCCTGGCTAGTAAGTCTAGACTTGAAATTTTAAGCCCTGATATAGTATTAAAAGGCAGGCAACATCTGAAAGAAAGCAGCATTACAACATTATACTCACACTGTGATTACAGGGTAAGTTCACCTTTTTAAAGAAGACTGACCACGTAGTCAATGGGGGCCTATTAGGTTAAAATACTTGAGCAGGATGGAAAAATATTGCTTCCTGCAACTTCCATACAAGTAACCTTTTGCAGCACCCCCCCCCCCCCCAATGCCTGGCCCACAAACTGCCATATTGAAACCGTTCCTCTATCTTACCTAAGGCTATGCTCACATCTCCATTTTTGTGCTGGTGTATTTGGGTGGGCACAGCAGCCCATTCATTTCGTTGAGCTGCTGTACCTGCAGGAAATGCTGGCCCTAACCATTTGCCAAAACATACCCACAGGGCATGCTACTGCACCATATGGTTTTGCACATCTGAAAACAAGCTGAATGAATAAAAGATCAGTGGCACCCCTATGCATCTGCTAAAGAGCAACACTCAGGTATGGCAATAATACAAAGTAATATTTTACACTTACTATACACTATTATTGTATTGCTACTACACATAAATATTGAAGTCACCTAAACATTGTTGTTATAGGGTGCAAGATGTCTGCAGATCCTTAGCTGTCACCCTAGGGTTCAATGAGAGGCCCACATTTGCAGGAATATTTCATAACCCTTTTCAATTTCAACAGCTCTTCCTGTTATGACAGAATTGTGCTATGAAGAGCAAATATTAAAACCTAGGTGTTTTTATATCACAGGACAGATCAAGTCTATATGCAAATTGTGTGGTCAACCTTACTCTTTAACTGAAATACCTGGTTCCAGCCACAGTTTTTTGAACATAGTTCAAACCAGCCTTTCTCAACTTTTTTACCCCAGAGGAACCCAACAGTTTTCAGGTCTCAGTGAACCCCTTATAATTCTTTTGCTAAATAAGATAATGAATAATGTGACATGCCTAGTGTATTTAACATCCTGATAATTTTTATCAAATAAACACCCACCTCTACCAGCATT